ACTACTTGCTGTTTCAATGTCTGACATGCTACAATCTGTTGGAGAAGATACATTGCTGAAATTACATTGCTGAAATTCCAAATCGTTTAGACTCGATGCACTATCTTCATCATGACATATGTTCCGTGGTAGAGAGCTCGTTGTACTAAAATAAACAATAAAGATAAAATAAGAAGAATATATGTTTTATATTGTAAGGGCCAATTATTCCATCTTTCGGTAAAGTTTATCTGTTAAGTAATCTGGCAATCCGCGCATGTGATTGGATAATCTTGCTACTTTCCTAACAGGTAAACTTTACCAAAAGATGGAACAATCAGCCCTAAAGCCTATCACAGTATAGGCTGTGCCTATATATTAGTCAAGTTATTACGCACGGCATTTCCTGCGCAGCCTCGTCTAGAAATTGCATATATGATTGGATAATCTTGCTACTTTCCTAACAGGTGAACTTTACCAAAAGATGGAACAATCAGCCCTAAAGCCTATCACAGTATAGGCTGTGCCTATATATTAGTCAAGTTATTACGCACGGCATTTCCTGCGCAGCCTCGTCTAGAAATTGCATTCTTGAATAGAAGCGGAAAGGACTTTTCTGCGGATGTCCAGCTTCCGCACCCGATCCGCTGCGTACACCCACGGTAATTAATTCTGTCCCTCGGAAATTTTCACAAAATGAAAAGTGACCACCTTTCTATATTAATTGTCAAAATATGTTGATGCATGTTTTTGTTATTCTATTCTTATTTTTGATCTAACCGTCTAATGAATGATGAAGATAGAATGACAAAAATACGCACTAACATTCTAGAGCGTTCTGAATATAGGCATAAATATACATTTATGAATACCTACATAAAACGAAGTAAAATAATTTTATATTACCAAGATTGTTAAAGACTTCATCCCATAACTCTTGTCGTACACAAGGGCTTCGCTTTTGAATTGGCAACTTTTGATTCCATAGACCTGGTCTCTGTTCTACTGCATCAATGAGCATCTCATCCATGGTGTTCGCTGAATATGGAGTAAAATCATTACTATTCTCTGATGATGGTGCATCCTTCTGTATACTTTCTCCTACTTCCTTCACTCCTGTTTATACATAAATGAGTATATTTACTAAATATTTTTAATACTTGTGTGTGTGTTTTGTAAATATTTTCTTGCAAATTAAATTACTCATTGTAGCTCGGCCTTTCT